ACCCCCCAATAAGCGAAGTCGGTCCAAACCATAGAGCCCTAAACCCTACAGTCCTAAACCAAGAGCCCTAAACCCCAGAGCCCTAAACCATAGAGCCCGAAACCCTAGAGCCCTGAATCATAGAGCCCTAAACCCTAAAGCGCGTCAAAGGCCGCGAATTTTGATCAAAGGCCACGAATTTTGATCAAAGGCCACGACTTTTGATCAAAGGCCACGAATTTTGATCAAAGGCCACGAATTTTGACCAAAGGCCACGAATTTTGATCAAAGGCCACGAATTTTGATCAAAGGCCACCAATTTTGATCAAAGGCCACGGAGAGTACAAGGTTTAGATTACCATAGGTAGAGAGGTTTAGGGTTCAGGGGATGGGCACTGAGGCTTCGATGGAGGACCAAGAGAATGTGGACCGGTTCCTTTACCCGAGCGAGACTGAAACCTCTGGCGGCTCCATTTGGACGGCCGGGGGCCGCAAGGGCGCCGCAGTGGACCTTTTGTGGCTCTTCTACGGAGACTCTTCCGAAACCAGGATTGGGAACGAGCACGGAGGCGGTCATGTGCCCATTGAACGACTGCCCCCCTACACATGCGGTTTGGAGATCGCCTACCACAAATACAACATGAATGGGATCGCCTTTATGAACATCAAGAACCAGTCCCTGGCAATCCAGGGCTATGACGAAGAGCGTGGGATGAATGCGGCTCGGATGTACACAGGGCCCGGCCTGTGCGGCCTCTATACCCTGCACCAGTTCCACAAGTACAACAAGCCACGCAAACATCACGAGAGCTGGACCTTGGGTGATGGCATTTTGTTGAGCTTCAAATGGGAGCCAGTAATGGAGGACGAGTTTTGACGTCTTGCACGGCGCCTCCCGAACCTACATAGGGGGCGGGGCCGGCCTTGCCTGAGCCGTGAGCTTTCAGTATCTTAGTATCTGCCCTCTGCACACGCCCCAGAGGTAGCAGGCTGCTATTCCCTTTGTCGTCTGTCAGTATCCCGTCTTAGGGGCGGTTGTGTTGGGTTTTTTGCGCTGGGTGGTTGTTCGGGGCTTTGGGCTCTTTGGTGGGGTTCCGGGGTTGGGGTTTGCTTGGTTGTTGTTCTGCCCGGTTGCTCGCTCGGGGTGGTGACGGCTGGCATTGTAGCTGACTGACAGCGACAGGGACTTCCGGGGGTTTGCCAGGTCGCACCGCTCACAGTGCTTCACCCCTCCAGTTATGTTGAATGCCTTGACAGTACGAAAAAGTCTGTAACACCTGATTGCACTTCAATGAACAGAGCAAGATTTCAAGTTTATGCAAGCGGAGGGACAACCGGCCACTGTTTTGGTTTGGTTTTTGGCCGCGAGCCTTTCGTTGCTGTGCAATCGGTCTGCCTTTGGGAGTGGGTTGAAACATGTTCACTGGTATTTACAGACTGTCTATCAATCAATTTAACATTGTGTGGGGGGGGCGGGTGCGGGGAAGGGTGCCAGGTGGGGGTGGGGGTAAGGGGGCAATGACATGGCACTGAAATCTGCTGACATTCGCTGGTATTGACACAGCACTGTGTTTTTCTTTTCGTGCATGCGACCGGTGTCCATGCGAAATCGTTTTTATCTACAGTATTCGCGCGCTGTTTCCTCTCGTGCATGATACATACGTAGTCGCTAAAACGCCCGAGCATTGCTTGCCTATTGTTGTTGTTTCCACAGGGTTCGAGGTTGTTAGGTCCGAAGCCACAGCTGTGTGGATTTGAGGCTTAGGAGTGGAAGTTTGGCGTTTAGGGTTCACCGTGTAAGGTTTAGGATGCAGGTAGTATCAAGCTACTGGGCTGCTTCGGAGAGGGTGACAGGCACTCAGCATATGTAGATGTCGTTAACGTATACTTGTGCCTGCAATTGTTCTGGGATGGCTGGCTGTGACACTGTGAGTGTTGCTAGCTCTGCGCAAGAGTGGGAAGCTGCCGTCTTGCGACCTTGGAGGCTTCTTGACGTTAGGCCTCGCAGATGTTCAGGACCGCGTTGAGCTATTTACTATGCCTGCTGCTGCTTTACAAGCACTGCTTTAGGCGGGAACTGCTGAGCTTGCTGTCAAGGTGCGACGGGGAGCAAAAACGGCTCTGAATGTTCACAGTGGAATGGTGGATGCCGTTTGGCAGCAGACCAAGGGATGGGCGCCACAAGGCATCAATTCTTGCCAGAATGGTTAGACGAATCCCCGTTTAATGCAATATATCAGACACTGGCAGTGGCGGCTGTTCAACCACAACCGCCTAGAAGCCACAGGAGCCAAACTCTGAACGTCTTGGTAAAAGAAACCCTGTAACTCCACGTGGATTCAGCATAGTAGGGCAGTGAGTGTCTTTAGGGGTCTGGTGTATATACCCAAAACCCTAAGCCCTATACTCATATGTCTTACAGTAGAAGCCCAACAGTTGGAAACCCAATAGCTTCAATGTCTAGAGGGACTCACAGGTACCAACTTGTCTTTTGGGGTTTTGACCCAAACCTTGTGTAGAATGGGTGATTAGGGGCCTTATTAAGAGTTTAGGGGTTTAGGGTTTAATATGCTGGATTCTGGGTACAAAAAGCTCAGAACAGTAGTCCCGGATGTAGGTAACCGGGCGCTTGAGAGGAATCTAAATGCATATTCTCGGCAAAACAGCCCCAGTCCTGTTTGGACTTAGATACATCTCAAGCGTACATACACAGCTACATGCTCGGTTGCCCAAGACTGCCCTAAAAACCCTAGCCGAGCCATGCCGTTTGCGGCCATTTGATGAAGTGCCAGGCGCGGGTTTGGGAGCTTGCTGTGTCTCGCTCTGGGAGGTTTCAAAACTTCGGGGCTTAAGTTTGTCAGGGTTTAGGGATATATATATATAGGGTTTAGGGTTTAGGGTTGAGTCCATTGAGGGTTGAGGGTTTAGGGTTTAGGGTTACGGTTAAGGTTGTGTGTCAGGGTTTACACATTGGAAAGCATGTTGTCGCACGGATTCTGCAACACTCCCTAAACCCTGAACCCCGCACCCTTAACCCTAAACCCTGAACCCTGGCTTAATTCCCAGGCCCAGAAAAGGCCCCCAAGCCTTGTCGTCGCTTGAAGACGAGAAGGGCTTCGAGTTTGACTTGGTGCTTCGGCTCATTAACCAGTCTTTATATATTATATCAACCGCCCCAAGCCCTTATTCAAACAGCTTAAGGCCCCTACAGTAATCAATGTCTTGTAACCCTAAAGCCCTTAAACCTTAAACCCTAAATCCTATAGACCCTAAGCCCTAAACTCTAAACCCTAAGCCCTAATCGTGACGACCTATACCGCAAGCTTTCGAGGGCTTCCAGATCAGAGGCAGATTTCGGGTCCAGGGTTTACGGAACTCCCCCCCAAGCTGTTTAACGTTTAACGTAGATTTAGGGTGTAAGGTTTAGGAGCCATCTAGAACTACGGAACATTCCCAAGAGTAGCCATGTGTCATGTTTCGGAAGGCAGCCCTAACGCATAGTTACAGTAAGTTGGAACATCACTATCCTACTGCCCTTAAGATAAAATATAGGAATCCCGGCACTAAACAGCTTAAATCTGTCTTCGAACTTCTAGGTTCACCTAAGCCGTAGGCCCTGAGCCCTATGTTCGTCATAGTTCTTGATAGAGCGGCTGAGGGGTCTCAACAAAGTCTGCTGCGCACGTTGTGCTTGCATCCATGCCTGGCCTGCATCCTGAAGAAGAACTTTAGGAAGCTTTCGCCTGCTTTGTGAAGGAAGAGCGCCCCAACTGAATCTAGCTAGAAGCTGGTAAAAAAGAGTGCGACTCCAGCCACTTTCGTGGGGCTCATACTGCGCCATGCAGCTCCAAGAGCAAAGCTACTCCCGCTAAGCTTTGTTGACCTGCTTGGGGCCGCTTGCTGCACATTGGCTCTAAGCCCCCTACCAATATAGGCTCCATAGTAGTTCCTTTTGTGGTTTATATCTAGGATCCTATAAGGTAATCCCAAAAAGGAACTACTATGGAGCCTCTGGGTAAACCCGAAACCCCAAACCCAACAGGTTGGCCCCACTCGCATCCTGCGTCCCCCCACGCGCTCCTCCGGATTTTGCGGCATCTTTGCAGCTGCGAAGAATGGAGCCGCGACGGATCGCAAGCCTTTTCGACAGAGGGCAACCTAGGGTTAAAAACCCTAAACCCTAAACCCTTCAGGAACTAGTGCTCGGTGGCACCGACCTAGTGATGAAGGCCATTCAGGGACTTCCGATGTCTTCTTGCTGCATGGTCGAGTCAACGAGCGCATCGACCTGACTCTAGCTACTTCCGACGCAAACAGACCGTAAACCCTGAAACCCGGAACCCCCCCCCCAACCCGCACAAACAAAGTGCTGACTTTTTAAAAAACCCTAAACCCCAGAATGCCCTAGAAGCGAAAGCCCAAGAAAGCCTTGTTCCCGTGATCATGCAGGCAGGCAGATCGATCGATGCCCAGTTCAAGGCGCGTCAGGACGGCGAGATGTGGGGGTTTGCGAAAATAGGGGGACCCTAATACAGTACCCTAAATAGTAGGATCCTCATTATAAGGACCCCAGAATACGGTACCCCTAATTTCGGAAACTCCAATGTGTTTCCTCCTGGCCTTTCGAATTAGACCTCGACCCAACAGTTCAAAGTTAAAGCCTTCAAACCGAATTCGTAAATAGATTTTTGAAGGGTCACAGACTCAACTGCAGGGACGAGCGAGGCAAACCATGGGCTTTAGCAATCGAATTTTCACGCGGACATGACAATGCTTCTTCAGTCGAATGGCCTTTGTTTAGGCTCTACACAAGTGCATGCAGTGATCCTTGCCTTCTCACGACTTTCAAGCCACAAGCTGCAAGCGACCACATATTCACACCATCCACA